TTTTTTTTTTTTTTTTTTTTTTTTAATATCTATATGTTCCTTCGTTGTTGCGAGGTCGAGCGATGGTTCTATTATTGTACAGCCATGCAAAACACATAAGGTCGATAACACACTACACCGAATCAATGATAAATTGATTAATTGGTTGGTTGATTTATTGATTGTGTGATTTAACAGTTTGTGTGTGTGTGTGTGTGTGTGTGTGTGTGTGTGTGTGTGTAAGTGAAAGTAAATCGGTACTCAGAATTTCTGTCAATCAGTCAATAATAATGTCAGGTCCGCCACCTGTCAATGACACGGGAAAGTTGTTAGGTCACTAAAACATTCGTATTCACGAAAAAGTTGTCAGGTCACTAAAACATTCGTATTCACAAACACACACACACACGTTGGCTCGTGATGTGCAGAAGTCTATGACAATGAAATCTGCAGAACAGAACACCGGGGACCGCAACATTCAGGGGAGGCTGGCGGCTGTTGACGAGAGTTTGCGCAGTCTCGACGAATCTATGGAGGCAGTAGCTGCAAGTGTGCGTGATGCCGATGCCGCTCTCGCTCGACTGCGAAACACTGATACCGGTGAAATAATTGACGGAAAAAACAAGCGAGATTCGTTGCTCCCGTCTTCCGGTTTCCTTGAGCGCGCGCGAGCTCGAAGGCAGAACTACAAAGGGATAATGATATACAACCATGAGTACGGAAAGGGTTTCTCAGGCGATGTGAACAATGAATGTAAAGAAAAAGAAAGTGAGTCAACAAATAATACCGAAAAAAACAAAGCACGGAATTGTAGTACATCTCCAAAGGCTCCACAACCCAAATGCATTTAAAATTGCAGGAAGAAAAAAAACAGAGAGTTGCTAAAGGGACATGAGTGCTTCGAGTGCAAACATTTTCGTAACGCGGTGGGTGTGTATGGAAAAGACCGACATGAAATTGTGCAAGAATGTTGACGACACAAGGAGAACCAGCGTAAAACGTCGACACCGCCTGGTTTTTGGAACATAGGCTTTTCTGATTCGGAAATGTAGGATGCTATATATATATATATATATATATATATATATATATATATATATATATCGTCACAAACAGAACTGCCCGGTAAACTGTAGGTATATCTAGGTTACCAATGGTCCGGGAGCCGATCGTCTCCCCCGGACGTCTCCCCATACGTCCGAAAAAACAATTTTATTTTTTTTTAAATATATATATCGTCACAAATAGAACTGTATTGTTTTCAGTTTTGGATTTTTAACTCCTGATTGGATGCGAATTTGAAGATGACTTTCTGGAAAAAGTTGCTTGTATTGTTATATTACTTAACATATATTTTTTTCAGATTTTTCTGAGAACTTGGTTTTTTTTTTTTTTTTTTTTTGCGATAGGTCGGACATACCCTGTCCGGTCGGACGTCCGATCCAACAAACTATATACATATACATA